AATATTGACCCTTAGTTTTATTTTATGCTGTCTTTGTCTGGTTTTGGTATTAGGGTAATACTAGCCTCATAAAATGAGTTAGAGGTGTTCCTTCTATTTTCTGGAAGAGATTGTATAAACTTTAGTGTTAATTCTTTGAATGTTTGATAAAATTCTCCAGTGAAACCATCTAGACTTGGAGATTTCTTTTTTGGGAGCTTTTCAATTACAAATTCAATTTCTTTTTTTTTCTTTTAATTTTTATTTTTTTTAATTAAAAAAAATTTCTTAGACTAGTCAAGTACAGTAGTGAGGGGGGGAAGTAGTAGAACAAAGAGTTCATAATTTCTTTAATAGTTATAGGACTACCCAGTTTTGTTTCATTTTGGCTGAGTTTTGATAGTTTGTGATTCTTGAGGAATTGGTCCATTTCTACTAAGAGTCAAATTTATGAATATAAAATTATTCAAGTATTTTTATTATCTTTTTAATGGCTTCAGTGTCTGTTGTAATATTCCTTATTTCATCTCTGATATTGATGATTTATTTATATCTTCTTTCATTTTATCTTTATCAATATTTATAGAGATTTATCAATTTTATTGATTTTTTTCAAAAAAATAGTTTTTCATTAATTTTCTCTATTGTTTTTCTGTTTTCAATTACTTAGTTTTCCAAGTGCTGACCATTTTTTTTCCTTCACAGGTTCCAACTCCAAGGCCAGGGGTTTTCACACCTCAGTCATCCCTAGTGATGCCCTTGACACCTTCCCACCCTAACCCTTATCAGGACTCCAGAATGCAGGATATAAGTGACTACAGGGTACCTGGGCCCCAGGCAGCCCAGCCTTTGCCTTTGGGCCCTGGGGTGAGGCCTGGTGAGTGAGTGAAGATTTGCCTGAGCAGAGCACAGATGTCTCAGGAAAGCAATTGGCATGACCACCATGGATTTGGGAGGCAGTATTTCTTTCTAGTGAGAGGAGCTTGGAAGTTGAAGTCTGAATTCCTAATTCTATCATTTACTGGCTTTGTTCCTTTTGGCATTATTCTAAAAAGTAGTTATGTTGGTTATTTCGATGCTACAGGATTGTTTTGCAGGTTAAATAAGGAATATAGTTAAAGGTACTTTGTAAATTATAGATTTCTATAAACATGTATTAATCATTTATTATTATTAGATTTTTTAAATTGCTGTCCTATTCCTGCCTAATGTGCTATGTGACTCTCCTGAACTGAAGTTTGGTGGTAAATACCCTATTTCTGTTCTACTTCAGCTTTATCTCAGACTCAACTATTAGGAGGGCAAAGAGCTCAAGCTCCTAACCCTGTGGGATTCCTTGGAACATGGCCTCTACCTGGCCCCTCTCCACCCATGGCATCCCTAGACATCATGCAGCCTGGCCCTACCTCCCTGCCTGAAACTTCTAGACTGCTCCCTCTGCTTCCTGTGAGACCACTAGGTCCCAATACCATGAGCTCCCAGCCCCCAGGCCCTCCTGCCAGCTTCCCTACCGCATACCCTCCTGGAGGGCCAGCTGCTCCGTGCTCTAGCACCATCCCAGCCACTGGCATCTTGACTTCCCATCCAGGTCAGTTTCCTTTCCAGGGCTTCCCTCTTCTGGGTTATCACCTCCTTTTTCTCCCCTCCCTACTATTACCTTGGGAGTCTTTTTCTTCAGTGAACTGGACCCCCTTGGGGTAGAGAGTGTCTGGGAGTGTGACTGCAGAGGGAGGTATGGTGGACTCCAACTAAAACAATTTTTCCAGCCTTCAGACCAAAACTTTTCAAAGTTCCTGACCATGTCCCTGAAAATCTATTTTTACTCTACAGCACCTCAAGATTCCTGGAAAGATGCTCCAGCTCCCAGGAGAAACCTCCAGAGGAAAAAGGTCAATGCATCTTTCCCCACCCACTCCCTCATACATTCACCAGTGACCCACATTCTAGTTCCTTACAGAATTCAGTCAGTCCTTCCCATTCTCAGGTTGTCCTCGCTCTTCTCTCCTCAGCACTCTCCTCTTTCCCTCTTACTCACACCAGTCTTCCCATTTCCCCATTTCCCACTCACATTTCTGTCTCCTTGTTCACTATAATTTCTACCACTCCCCCAAATCAGAGCCGATGGAGTCTCTTAGCTTAAACTCAGTGCCTTTCTTTCTCTCTTTTTAGCTGCCAGAAACGTTTATGCTCCCAGCACCAATTATTGCTCCAGTTATGAGCCTCAGCCCTGAACCACGAAGGATCCTTCTCTCACAGCCCCCTGTCTCCAGTATGAGTCATGCTCCCCCAGGAGCCCCAGGAGAACTCGGCCTGCAGGTGACAAGGACAATATGTTACCCTCCCCTGGGAAACCTTCCAGCCCTCCCTGGGTGTAGAAAAGTGGGGAGCATGGTAGATAGGCCTCATTCCTCAAGGTAGAGGCAGTCTCTGAGCTAAGAGAAATTGGATTGGATACTAGATATTCTTACTGCAGAGAAGAGGGGAGGTTGCTCTTCTCCTCAACTCTGCTGTGCCCTAAGGGGAACAGTGTGATTCTGAATCACTGAGGACTAGTCCTTAGAGAAGCCATGAGAAGGAGAGCTTGCCTGTCTTTCTCCTGCCTCTTTATCAGCAACTTCAGCAATTGCCACCAGAGAAGATGGAAAGGAAAGAGCTGCCCCCAGAGCATCAGTCATTGAAGACCAGCTTTGAGGCACTTCTCCAGTACTGTTCCTTGTCTGCAACTGACTTAGTGAGTCTGAAGTTTCCCCACAATGCCCTCCTCACACCCCTCGCTGGTTCCAGGACTCCTTAGCTATAGACCAGTTCTTTGTGTGACTCTTTTCTCACTGTCCTTTAACATCCTGTCTATATCTTATATTTATGTCCATGAGGAATAGGGGAGGGACTTGGATTCTGATGTCTGGCTCCTCAGTAGCAGGACCCAACAGCATCAAAACCTAAAGGCAGCAGGAAGTCCTAAAAGGAGAGTGAAGCCAGGAGTAAGGAAACCTGCCATTCATTTGCTGGCTGTGTCATCTTGAGCAAGTCACTTACCTTCTTTGGGCCTCCATTTCCTCCTCTGTGAAATGGAGCAAGTAGCATTAAGCCAATCTAGCTCTAATATATTGTGATTCTTTATAACCCTATGTAGTGTTAGACTTAGGGGCTGGGGTCAGAATCCATTTCTTGAGGCTGGGCATGGTAGCGCACACCTGTAATCCTAGTACTTTGGGAGGCTGAGGCAGGAGAATTGATTGAGGCCAGGAGTTTGAGACCAGCTGGGCAACAGTGAGACCCCATCTCTACAAAAAATAAAAACTTAGCCAGGCATAATGGTGTATGCCTGTAATCCTAGCTACTCAGGAGGCTGAGGTAGGAGGATCACTTGAGCCCAGGAGTTTAAGGTTGCAGTGAGCTATGATGATGCCACTGCACTCTAGCATGGGCAACAGACTTGAGATTCTGTTTAAAAAAAAAAAATCCATTTCTGTCCTTGCAGAAGACAAAAAGGAAGCTGGATGAGGCAGCCCAGCGTCTAGAATGTCTGTATGAGAAGATCTGCGAGGGGACAGTAAGTACAGCTAGCTGTGTTCCCTCTGCCTCTCACTCTTCTGCCATCACCCATGGCCAAAGGAAGCCCAGTGTCTTTTCTTCCCAAAGGTCTCCTCAACCTGGGTCCCCACAAAATACATACATCTTTTCTGGACTAGGCTCCAGAACTTGAACCCTCTCTTATCCCCCTATGCTGCCAGGGTAGAGGCTGATATGGGCTTACAAACCCAAGGGTCAATCTCTCCACAGCTCTCGCCTCACGTCCTGGCTGGGCTCCATGAGGTTGCCCGATGTGTGGACGCAAGAAGCTTTGAGCAGGGCCTCGCAGTACACGCACAGGTGGCAAGCTGCAGCAGCTTCAGTGAAGTGTCCAGCTTCATGCCCATCCTGAAGGCCATCCTCACCATCGCACACAAACTGCAGATCTAAACCAACCAGCCCCTCTTGCCAGGAGGCCATTTCTGCTATTACTTAACTCTTCCCTGCAGAAAAGGGAAATTTTACAACAGATTCTATTGTTTTTCCCAATCCTCTTCCCTTGCTGGCAGGTATGTGATGCTGTAGGCTTACCTCCAAACCAGTTGAGTGCCTGCTTTTTCCCCTTTATGCCTGGCCTTCTAGGATCTACCCAAGACTCTCTCAGCCCCAGACGCAGAACACAGAGTCAGTTCTTTACTTTCCCTAACACTGTACTCTGACAGGACCTGGGGCAGAATATCTTCTCTCCCTGAAATATTCTGTTTAAGTGGCCTGTGACAGAGTGAACAGGATCATTATTTTCAAGTCTACTTCTGCTGTAACCCACCTTATGGGTCTTTTGTTTTTACTTTCTGTGGTTTATGAGCCTGACCTTACCTTCTCCCTGCCTCTGATTTCATATTTTCAGGTTCATATTTCTTTGTGGCCCAGGGACTAGGGTAGAGTTGACTGCTGTTCACTCTTTGAACAAGTCATAGATGGGAGGGATAGGTGCTGAGCAGAACTAAGAGAGACAACTTTGGCCCTTTTTAAACAAAACTTAACATGTGCCAGCATTATTAAGGGTGAGCTAGGTTAGGTGGAAGGTAAAAGGGGTGAACTGCCTTTCTGGAAGCTGTCTTAGGCTAACAGAGAGGAGCAGAGGGACCAGAGACTATGGTGAAAGGCCCTTGACTCCACTTATGTTTGAGCCCTGGCCCAAGGCCCTAGACTATTCATTCTGTGATTATAAGCCCAGTTCTGGAATAGGAACCATATTAACGAAGGCTTCTTTTCCAGCCCTGCTCCTCAAGAGCTTGGATGCTTCTCCCCCTCAGCCACCACATGTCTCAGGGCTACCTTCTCTGGTTGTATTTTCATTTGATTCACAGATATACTTAATGGTGCAATAAAGCCACTTTGATTTGGTTTCCTCAGTCATCTCTCAATCATTGTCTCCTCTGGGGCCTATTTTGCCATTACCTATCTTTCTAATCCTCTGTTCTTGCTTCCTGCACCCTAGTAAGGCAGGGGAGAAGCTTGAGGAGAGATAAGAAGTCAAGAGAGTTAAAGAAAGGAAGGTGTCCACTTCCACTGAATTAGGCTGCAAGGCTCTCCCTGCAGCATTTGTGGCCACTCTGCTGAGTGTGTGTGTGTGTATCTTCATCCGTGCCTGACATTCAGCTCCAGGGTTTTCCCCACACCACTTCAGGGCTGAGCTCAGCTGCACAAAGGGACTGGGTGTGAAGCCAGAGGGCACTAGCCCTAATCCTGTTGTAGATCCCATCATGTCTGCAGGCTAGATGTGTGTGTTTGGGAGGGAGGGATTGTTAGGCAGTATTTGTTTGTAAAGCCACTTGCTCTTCAGATAATACTTGCACTAACTTCTATTGATGAAGCAGTGTGAGCCCCAGCAAAGTCCTTTCCCAAAGTGTCTTTGAAGCCAAGAGCCCATTGAGGGGAAGAAAGGCCGGGAGAGGGGATTAGTTTGTTCAGCAGCTGTGAATTTCAGTGGGAGGTTGATGAACTCCGAAGTCTTTGTTTAAATTAAAGGGGGGGAGAAAAAAGCCGCTGCTGGAGCGAGAGCCCCACTTGGGGCCCTGAACTAACACAAGGAGAAGTCTGAGCTGCAGGGAGCTGTGTACTGACTGCGAAGACTTTTCCCAAACACTTTCGGAAAAGGTGTTGTGAGAAGAGAAGGGGGCGGAGTGGCGGATTAGCATGTGAAATGAAGTTTTCATTGACTCCAGTGGGGGTAGAAGGCTATTTTAATGGCATTTTGTTCCCCTATTTTCTCTTCTTGAGCTCTTTAGAGATATTGTTTTGCTAAGACAGGCTTTCTTCCCCCTTCTTTCCAGTCTGAGGGTTGCCTCTATGGGAGCCAACATAAATATTTCTCCTCGAGGAATGCAGGTTAATTAAAAGGAAATGAATGAGTGGAAGCATCCAATCCAGACCCACAATAGGCAAGTGCCCTGGCCTGCCCTCCCCTCCCACTACCACCAGCACCACCAGCGCCGAGGATGACCCTGTCTCTGTCTTTGCCTTAACCTGCTGCTAAGGCCAGTTGAGGCTGGGATTCTTTTCAAGAAAAGAAAGCCCTGCCTGTGTGTATGCTCACAGGCCAGGGACAGGAAGGAATCAGTGTTTTGCCCACTCCAACCAGTGTCCTTGTCACTTCTCAGGACCTCCCTCTGCTTCTATCCTCTGGCTGAGACAGATGGGCTCCAGAAGAGCACACAAGAGGAGGGAGGGGACCTGTGCTCCAGCACTCAGTCCACAGTAACTCAGGAGTTGGTGGAACAAGCCAGTCATCTTTCTCAGCATCCATTTAAATCTGTAAAACAAAAGATTTGACTAGCTTATCTCAAAGTTGTCTTCCCAAGCAACGGTTCTGGAGTTGTCCACTTTGTAAAGGTGAACACAGCCCTGGCAATTGAGTATAAGATGAGACCCTAAACTCCATGAATGTGGGGATGTTGGTGTGTTGTTCACCACTTTGTCACTCTGGTATTTGCTGAGTGAACAAATGTATGAATGGATAATGCAAGAGGCTGAAAAAGCAATACAGATCTAAGGTAGCTCAGTAACGTTTTCTTTATAGAACTCAAATGAATCTAGTATCAATCATATCCATTTGGGGATATAAAACAATAACCTATGAAAGAACTTTCTGGCAACATGACATGTTTAGAATACTGACCTGGAGTTTATCAAATATGAAGCACAATGGTTCTTCTACATTTATGCTGAGAGACCTCCTGGAGAATGTAGCTTTACAGCATTGTACTTTTATATTTTCTAGCTGCCTTGCCAGACTTTCTTCCTGTGCACTATCAAGTAATTCTGCCAAGTGGGACAGCTAGGTTAGTATATGCTGCTGCTTGATTAAGGAAGAAGGTGAGTTGGGAGATTCAGGAGGCCCAGATAAAAGCTGAAGGAAGAAGCAAAGGGCCTTTTGCTAGTAGAGCTGGAAATGAAGCACTCAGAGACCCCGAAGGGAAGTGTACCCCTGGTCGAGAAGGAGAACTTCTCAGTAAGTGTTAGTAGGACCAGAAGATATATAGGGGTGAGGCCAGGGGCTTGGGATCTGACCTGGCCACCACCTGAGTTTGGAATATGGGAGACCTCTTATAGGTCAGCCCCTAGAGTCTTGGCTTTTGTTATCTACTTGGAGCCACAACTCTGGTGCTTTTCTTCTACTCTGGGAGAGGAAGGTTGAGGTTGTCTAGCATCTGACCAGTTATGCTTCAGGAGAGCTGCCCGGTGCCCAGACCTGGGACTGGCCTACAGCAAGGGATCTGGCTGGGAAGTTCCTTGGGCTACAAAGAGTTGTTAGGAAATGACTGTTCCCTCCCCAAGAGCTTGCCCTATTTTATAAACAAGTCTCTGCTGTACTGCTTCTCTCTGAGAATAAAACCAGAGGATTCAAGCACCACAAGCAGCAAGTTCTTGGCTACTAAACAAATGTATTAGTGGAAGATTTATGTAGATGATTTACTAATCCTTGGCAGATTAGCCTCAGTCAATCTTAGGCCATCAGAGAAGCAAAGATCTAGGAAGGACAATATCCTGCCAAGGTGGGAGGGAGGAGAGAGCATAGAGGTTATATCCTCTACCCCACCCAACTCCCAGTATCCTCAAGAATAAGTTCAGTTCCTGGGAAAAAAGGGAACATATCACAATAACTGCAATAAATTAAAGTTCAAGGTGCTGAACTTCCTATTAGCAACAGTTTCATTGCAAGAAGTTTATCCATTGAAGGAAGATATCCAATGCCCTGAATCCTGCCTGTTTGAGAGCAAAGTTAGTGAAAAGGAAGGCTCCCAGTTTCTCCTCCTATTACCTGTCTCTAGACCAGGGTCTGAATGGGAAATTGGCTTTATTTACCTTAGTCTTGACTCAGAGAAACAAAGGAGCCTTTGGGGAAGGAGAAGTGGTAAAGTTGGTTGCTAGGAGGAAATAGGTTAGGAGCAGGGAGAAGGTAAAACTTTAAAGGGTAGGAAATGACTGGCAATCTGCCTTTACATAGTTACTAGGCCTTCAGGATATGTGTCTGGAGTCCATTGGGTGATTGTCTATGAAGGTCATTGCCCCACTGGTAAAATCCATTAGTGATGTGGTGTCACAAGGATGAGTAGCACCCTTGGTATTCAGCAAATCAGCACTTTAGGGTTCCTTCTTCCTATCTTCAACCTTTGCTTCTAGGAACAAACCCCCAAAACATGCTTTTTCCCAGGCTGGTTTTCTTAGTTTCTCTTCTGGGAAAGAAAGGAAAAGGAGAAGAAAGAGAAAGCATTAGAGATTCCTGGGGAGTCTATGTCAACAGTTAGCAGGGAATAAGAAACACAAGAGGAGCTCTGCAAAAGAGAGAGGCAGCTATGGTGAGACCTGGTAGCAGACAATGGGCAAAGGAGAAGAACGTGGCTTTATCTAGGCCCTCGTGTCTGAGAAGTGTCCTTCCGGTTCCTAAGGCTTGATAGGCTAAGGTCAGGCTTTAGGGCATCTAGGAGGTGGGAGGAGGAACGCCTATTTTCATCCCAGTCCAAGGAAGGTCAATAGCACAAAATCTTAGAACAGAGTTCTCAGACCTAAGTGTGGCTGTGAGGAAGATTCAGACAGAGCGCAGAGAAATTGGGGAAAACAGGTTGGAAGTGGCAAGCTCTGGAGACATTGCAGACTCTCTCACTCTCAGGGTCCCTGGGCTTGGGAATGCTGTGGTCCCCATTCCCTAGGTTCCTCTATTACTGGGGTCTCTAAAAGAAGCCAAGAACAAATGGGGAAAGGAGGCAAGAGAGGAGTCTCTTAGGGTTTTCTCCCGGGTTTGTGCGCAGCGCCTCCCCGCGGCCGCTCCGCGCGGCTACAAAAGTACTTGGTGACCCGCCGGCGGCACTGCTCGCAGCGGACAGCGCAGCACCAGTGAAACTTGCAGTTGCAGCTGGACACTGTCTCCGCGCGGCGCTCCTCTACCGCCAGGCCGCAGTCCCCGCAGAGGCGGCGGCAGCTACGGCGCTCCCAGCGGCCGAGGGCCCGTCCGCGCCTCAAGCACTCTCGGCCTTCTGTGCCCAGCAGCCCCAGGGTTTTGTTCTCCAGGCAGTAGTCCGGGGAGTCCTCCAGGTGCACCAGCTCCCGGGTGGAGATGGAGCGGAAGGTATCGGCGATGGCGCCGCGGCCCGCCGCACTATTGCCAGCACCCTGCAGCAGGTCCACCTTGAGTGCTGCATGGTATTTTTCCTTCAGGTGCGCGCCCACCTCGCGGAACTCGGGCAGCTGCAGCCAGCAGGTCTGCGTGGTGCAGCTGCCAGACACGCCGTGGCACTTGCATGTGCGTTTCATGGTGCCCTTCACCGCCTGGGGAAAGAGCTAGGAGTGAGACCGGGATTAAGCGTGTGGCGCGCCTCTGCCTCTGAGGGTTTGTGAGGCATCTAGCTAGTCTTCTTGGCCAGCCCGCTTGGTTACCTCATTTTCCCCATCTGTTAAATGAATTTAAGAGTTGTCCGCACCTGGGGCTGGTGCTGGATGGAGCTGACTGCCCAATCCTAGGGGCTGCGGGACTCACCTTGCGGCCAGCCTCGTTATTGTGCAGGTTCATGGCTGCCCGTGCATCCTGTCCTGTTTCCAGAGCATCGACGAACTGCTTGGAAATTGCCTCTCCGAAGCCCACGTTGTCACTGCAGCCTCCCCACAGCCAGCCTTGGCCCCCTGGAAAAGGGTGGGAAGAGGAAAGGTCATTGAGCAGACGGGTGCGGAGCCTCCTGGCCTGCTGTTCCTAATTGGGTTGGAGGGGTTCGGTATAGGAGAGGATTAAGTTGGGCGAGTGCCCTGTATCCGGATTAGTTTCAATCTAGATTTGTTTTTACCACTTTTGTGCTTCTACTTCCAGCCTCAGCCAATCCCTTGCTCAAGGCTCCATGACGTAAGTAGTTGCCGAATGGATTCTCTGCAAGGTGTGAGCGTGCTTCTCCGCATACAGGGCTCTACCCACTGGGCAGAGGGTGCATGTGCCCTGCCAGTGATTGAGGTCCGGACGGGACAAAATGGCATGGAGCATTAAGAGGGAGATACCGGCACAACTGAAATAACATGGAACAACCAAGGTGGAAATTGATTGGGAAGGCAGAGAGGATTGGAGATGGCAGTGGAGGTAAAGAGTGGAAAATAGACCCACCTGGGCAACATGAAAGGAGAGAAGGAACAGAGGATTGAGTCCGCAGAGTGTTGTTCCATGATTATTATTATTATTAATCATTATTGTGTTTAAATTAAGGAAACCACTCAATGGGAAAAGAGGTTCCCAAGTTACATTTAGTCTGGTTTATCACTCTAGGGTTTGGGTTCAGACTGGTTCACCCATCTTCAGCATGATTTTACTCATATTTAGAAGAATACAACTTTTCTTCACAAAGTTACCCACCAAACGTTTCATTCTCATAAGTGAACTTAACTGGCCTGTGCTAACCATCCCCACATTGCTACTCACCCAGTTGCCCGTTGCGGGAATCATCACAGCCACAGTTATCAAAATCCCCAAGGCTGCAGTTTCTAGTTAGGGTGTACATGACTCCAGCAGAACTGATGGCATGTACAAATGCTGTCTCCCGATTAGCTGTCAGGAACCAAAAATCCAGAAGTTAGAGGTAGGGATTGCAGCCCGAAGAAATGCCAGTCATACCACTTTCCTTTAATACCATGATTATACCTTCTTTTCCCAGCTGCATCCTATTACCCCATCTTTAAAATGTGTCTTACCCTTTTCCAGGGTCTGCTCCATCCCTGGCCTTAGCCTTACTCCTCTCCCTTCCTGCCTTTGAAGGCCACTCATTTTATGTCTAGGTGGCTAGGTTATTGTTGACACACATGATTGTAAAGGATTTAGATGGAAAAGAGCCTGAGGAAGAAATGGGGAAGAAGATGAATCTGAAGGCTAGGTTATAAAGAACCCATCCCTACTTCCTCCTGGAACATTGGAGTCTAAGAGGTATGTGTAGTTAATCTTGAAAAGAACCTCTGACTGGCAGTTCTTTCATTTTTTTGGCATGGCCACTCTATCTTCTCCATGGGAATCTGGTTTCCAGGTCAATTTCCACTTGCCCAGTACCTCTGCTGAGCCTGCTGAAAGAAGGCACTAAGAGGTGTAGTAATTATGACCCCCTTCCTACCTCCTGATGTTATTTATATTGTGAAGGAACTTTTAGCCAAATGGAAGGCTAAGGATGGCATGGGATTGAGGGTGAGGCAAGGCCCATTTGTCGAGCATTGACAGTGTTGGGGAAGAAAGAAAAAAACCTCTATAGGTATGAAAGAGGAGGTGGAAAAGGAAAGAAAATCTTCCAGGGAGGGAGATGACCTGAGAGAAGAGAGCAGGTGAAGAATAAGGGTGTAGAGGAGTCAGAGAGCCATTGCTGGGGCTCTAATCTGTGACCAGGGGGTCCAGGGAACTGTGGCCAAGGCTTTCCTTACCACTGCGAAGCCCACCATGGCTGGACAGCTGCAGGGCTCTCTCAGGGCAGTTCCAGCGGTCCCAGGCAAACTGATATTTGCATTCTTCAATACCACTCTGAGCGCCAGCTGCCACGCTGCTGGAGTAGATCAGGTAAGCCTGCAGGGACACAGTGGTCAAAATTCAGATTGAACTTAGGAGGCATTTACTCTAACCTGGTCAAGCAACTCTCTTCCTGCCCATTCTCCCATCCCTCTAAAATAATGGTGGAGTGAGCATTTTAAATATGCTGTCTCATTTAACATCACAAATAACCTTGTAAAATAGGTACCATTTTATAGACAAGGAAAGTGAGGCTCAGAGAGGTCCTTTGTAGAAGGTCCCACAGCTAGCAAATGGCAAAGCTAGTAATGAAACATAGTTTTATCAGATTCTAGTCCCAACTATCCTTTATTCATTCTACTGCCTCTACAAAAGGAGCCCAAATCACATAATTCATGAAATTTCATCTATTTTCATTCTGTTACTATCTTAGAAAATAATATTTTGGAGCTGGAAATGCCCTTCCACGTACAGATCATATAATACAATTCCAGCAGTTTAAAGATGGGGCATTGCATCCCACTATGGCACTGAGAAGGATATGTAACTTTACAGCCTAACACCTGTGAAAGGCTGTTGATTCCCCCCCACCCCCAAGACAGACTCTTGCTCTATCACCCTGGGTAGAGAGTAGTGGCACATCATAGCTCACTGCAACATCAAACTCCTGGGCTCAGGGGATCTTCCTGCCTTAGCCTCCCAAGTAGCTGGGAATACAGGTGCATACCACCATGACCGACTAATTTTTTTCTATTTTTAGTAGAGATGGGGGTCTCACTCTTGCTCAGGCTGGTGTTGAACTCCTGAGCTCAAGCAATCCTCCCACCTTGGCCTCCCAGAGTGCTAGGATTACAGGTGTGAGCCACTATACCTGGCCCAAAGGCTGTTGACTTTTATGGCTCTGGAAATTCTGGCCATAAATTTAGAATCAGTGCTCCTGAGTTCTTGACACTGACATTAGTTTGCTGTGTGGTTTTAGGTGTGTCCCTAACACTCTCTGGGCCTCAGTTTTCCTATCTATAATGTTTATAGCATAATAAAAGATGTGCACATGACGAAAAGAAATAGACATGTATAGTCTTTGGTCAACATGCTTAGTGAAACCCGTATTAATCAAAGGAATTTTTTCTTACCTTTGGACCAGTCATCAGGAAATTGTTCACTGACCTACAAGGGGAAAAAAAACACAAACCACAGAGTATAATGGAGAGACACTAACTTGTTTCTGTTTCCAAGAGTTGTAAGGGTTATTTCAGCAAATATAATTGATGGGAAGAAAGGGAAACTAATTTCACCAAGGAAATATTGTGCATAAAAACCTACTAAAATAACTTATTTAGTAAAAAATAATATGAATAAAAGTAGTATGATGGACTAAGGAGAAAAAAAAAGAAAAAAAAAGTAGTATGATTTCCTTGGATTTTTAAAGTTAGTTAAAATTTCCCATACCGTAAAAATTAAGAGTAATGTTTGATTGTTATTTTGCCATGGGGTGGGGAGAGAGCTAGCATTAACTCATGATTGTGTACCAGATGCTCTTCTCTCAGTATTTTACATATTGATCTTGTTAAATCCTTACTCTCAGGTATTATTATCTCTTTTGCAAATAGGGAATATGAGACTCAAGAAAAGTTAAATATATGTTCAATCTCACCCAGCTAATAAATGAGGGAAGCAGATTTATTTATTTAGAGACAGAGTCTTGCTTTGTTGCCCAGGCTAGAGTGAGTGCCGTGCCCTCAGCCTAGCTCACAGCAACCTGAAAATCCTGGGCTCAAGCGATTCTACTGCTTCAGCCTCCCAAGCAGCTGGGACTACAGGCATGCGCCACCATTCCTGGCTAATTTTTTATATATATTTTTAGTTGGCCAATTAAGTTCTTTCTATTTTTAGTAGAGACGGGGGTCTCACTCTTGCTCAGGCTGGTTTCGAATTCCTGACTTCGAGCAATCCGCCCACCTTGGCCTCCCAGAGTGCTAGGATTACAGGTGTGAGCCACCGTGCCCAGCCTGGGAAGCAGGTTTAAATCCAGGTTCATCTTATTCCATGAGATTTTAGAAGGATAGTTCTCCAGTCAGGAAGAGGCAAACAGTGGAATATCTTTCTAGGGATTAAGTCACCATTAAATTCCAAAAATATATAATTTGATTCTGGAAAATGGTTTGGCTGTTTCTTTTAAAACTAAAAATAGATTTGCCACATGACTTAGCAATTGCACTCTTGGGCATTTATCCCAGAGAATTTTGTGCTTGGTTCCAAGTCACTGAAAAGATCTAAAAATAAATTCTTTTTAATTAAAAAAAAAAAATTTGTATTCAGATGCTCATACTTGGATACTTTATTCATAATGGCCCCAAATTGGAAACTACCCAAATGTTCTTCAGTGGGTGAATGTTTAAAAAAACTGTGGTACATCCACACCATGAAATATTACACAGCAATAGAAAGAAAAGAACTTCATGCAATTATGGAGGCTGAAAAAAAGGGGTGGGGGAAGGAACTATTGATAAATGCAACAACTTGAATGAACTTCAGGAAATTATATTGAATCATTAAAATCAATCTCAAAAGGAAGGATGCATGCTGTATATTTATATAACAGTAGTGAAATACTGTAGAGCTGGAGAGCAGATTAGTGGTTGCCAGGGATTTGGGATAGGGGATGGGTGGGCTATAAAAAGTAACATGAGAGAGTCGTGGAGAGATGGTAGAGTTAAGTGTCTTGATGACTGTGGTCATGGTTACACAAGTGGCAAAGTTACATCAAGCTACACACACATGCATGCACACTCAAGTACAAGTACCTATAAGTGTATGTAAAAATGGCGAAGTCTGAATAAGCTTTATGATAATGTACTGTGGTTGTAAGATGTTAACACTGAGGGAGGTTAGGGCCAGGGTACATGGGACTTCCCTGTACATTTCTTTGCATCTTTTGCAGATCTATAATTATATAAATATGGAAAGTGAAGTACATATGTACATACAGGATCTGCAGTGTTAGAGATTTGGAGAACAGCTTCAGTATAGGCATTTGAAAATTAATCAAAATGTGTTATCTATTATCATTATTTATCAATTATAATGTAAGGAAGTAACATAAGAATCATTATGTATCATTCCATGAAAGTTGGTGTGCCCCTGCAATTCTGAAGACTGATAAGATGCTATACATCACCAGAGAGGAGATTGGAAATGAAACAGACCAAGAAAGTTTAGTCTTTTGTCAGAGGCCAAAAAGGCTTGCCTGATTCTTTTCATACAAAACACACACAACACCTAAAATGTGAGCAGGTTTTGAAAAACACTATTAGCAAACTGGGAGGCTGCCATATGAGAAGATGAAAAGGATTCCGAAAGAGATGTAATGGAATTTTGGAAAATCATAACAGATTACAAAATCTAGCACAACTAAGGCCTACTTTTTAAAGCTTGGCAGGCAAACTTAAGTCAACTGAAGAAAAGCACTGTTCTATTGGGGGTGGTAGTACAAGCAAAGCACAAAAATAAATTCAAAATTATGTAAATGAATTCACAATTGCCAAAGCCATTATGGGTTTGGAGATATATTTCTGATCCTTATTTTTTTTTTTTTTTAAGATCAAGAATGTAACCAGATATTTCTGATCCTTAAAGACTAATGTCAGAGAGGTCAGCTAGGTCCTTGGCCTCAGGGAAAGGAGCCTAATCTTGACGCTAGGAATAACTTTCAAAGACTTTGGAATTAGCGGATCTGACAGAGGCTATTTCCATTTTCCATAAAACAGACATTTTCAGGAAAGAAAACTAAACAACAAAACAAAAATCAAGTGACATAGGAGAAAGGTTTGCCTGCATGAAGATTCTTCCTGTGAGAGGATTCTAAGTTGGAACCACAGGGAGGGATGGGCAGAGACACTAGAGAATTCTTCTTTCCTGGAAGATCCTACAGTATTCATTTATTTTAGGACATCTGGTACATTTAGGATGATCCCACAATATGTAAAGATTTGTATGTGCTGGTCTAGCCCAATTGATGAATCAGATTTAACTAAGCACCTGTCATGGGACAAAACTGTAGGCCTTATTTGGACAACATTTCCATAAATTGACTTGAGTTATTAACCTTTGAGTTGCAGACCTATTTTGAACCTTCTGGCTTGCTTACTCATATTGAAAATATCCTATATTACGAAAAGACTGTGTGTCCTGTAGTGAGCACCAAAGAAGGAGGACCTGTGCTTGATTAATGAGACAATGGCATGATGTCCTTTTGGGAGGTAAAATATAGATTGCAGAAAGCATAGTAAGTGTGTGTTGTGAGAAGATGCAAAGAATTTAAGTGTTTATATGGGTGCCATCTAGGGACAGTCATATGACTGAAGGAAAAAATGCTACACATGGAAGGTATAAATGTTTAACAGGTGGAGGCTTCTCTACAGACAGAACATGGTAAAACCAGTATCCTCCTAGATGGAGGTACAAGTTTCCCACATCCCATGAGGATGTACAGTTGCTGATAATACTACCTAAATTCAGTGCCATTCAAAGGGTTTATGCTTTCCTGGACCCTCCCAACTATTCTCAGACCTTTTCTTTTCTTTTCTTTTCTTTTCTTTTCTTTTCTTTTCTTTTTTTTTTCTTGAGACAAGAGTCTTGCTCTGTTGCCCGAGCTAGAGTGCTGTGGTGTCAGCTTAGTTCATAGCAACCTCAAACCCCTGGGCTCAAGCAATCCTTCTGCCTCAGCTTCCTGAGTAGCTGGGACTAAAAGCATGCACCACCATGCCCAGCTAATTTTTTCTATATATTTTCAGTTGTCCAGCTAATTTCTTTCTATTTTTAGTAGAGACAGGGTCTCACTCTTGCTAAGGCTGGTCTTGAACTCCTGACCATGAGGGATCCTCCCACCTTGGCCTCTCAGAGTGCTAGGATTACAGACGTGAGCCACCACGCCTGGCCCGCCTGCCTGCTCGCCCGCCAGCCCACCCTCCCTCCCTCCCTCCTTTCCTTCCTTCCTTCCTTCCTTCCTTCCTTCCTTCCTTCCTTCCTTCCTTCCTTCCTTCCTTCTCTCTCTCTTCCTTCCTTCACTATGTTTTATTAATGGAACTACTATTTTCTGAAGTTTCTCCCAATCTGCTCTCACCATCCAATCAGTTACCACAAATTGTGTATATTGTACCCTTATATTTTTTACATACCAGTTCCCTCTTTTCTACTTTCACTATCACAGTCTTAGTTGTGGCCTCCAACCTAGCCCACTGTAGAAGCTCTGCTAACTGACTTCTCTTATTTGTCTTAACCCCGTTCCAAACAAGTGTAGATCACTCTTCTGAAAGCCTAATTTTGATGTCATCCTTCTGAGGACTATCTTCCATAGTTCTCCAACTTTTGATACTGAAGGTCCTCTATAACCTGACCCTACATAACCTTTCCAGCCTTGTTTCTCATTAAATATCCCCTCTGAGGCTGAACCAGTTGCTATTCCTGGACATCCATGCATTCATGCTTCAATGCCTTTCCTCATGCTGTTCCGTTAAATCTTACCTATTCTTAGTATTTCTAATCAATAGTGTTAGGACAACTGGATATCCACATACAAATGAATGAGGTTGGATCCTTACATCATACTATCTGCAAAAAATAATTTAAAATGGACCATAGACCTAAATGTAACACTCACAGAATGAAGCATAGGTTAGGTGTGAATTTTGGGGACATGGGGTTAGACAATGGTTTTATTGATATACTAAAAGCACAAGCAACAAAATGAAGTATAGACAAATTGGACTTCTTCAAAATTAAAAATTTTTGTGCTTCAGGAAACACCATCAAGAAAGTGAAAAGACAATTTGCATAATGAGAGAAAATATTTGCAAAACATATATCTCATAAAGGGTTAATATCCAGAATATATAGAAAACTCCTAAAACTCAAAAACAGAAAAATAAACAATTTGATTTAAAAATGGGCAGAGAACTAGAATAGATATCTCTCCAAAGAAGATATACAAATGGCCAATAAGCACATGAAAAGATGCTCAGCATCATTAGTCATCAAGGAAGTACAAATAAAAAACACAACAAAAATTCACAGTCACTAAAATAGTTAAAATAAAAAAAGAAAACAAATGTTGGTGAGGATGCAGAGAAATCAGAACCCTCATACATTGCTGGTGGGACTGTAAAATGGTACAGACACTTTGGAAAATAGTTTGGCAATTTCTCAAAAGGAGTTACTGTATGACCCAGCAATTCCATTCCTACATATGTACTCAGAATTGAAAACACATGTCCAAAAAATACTTGTGCATTAGTGTTATAGCAGCATTATTCATAATAGCCAAAAGAAAAAACAACCTAAATGTCTATCAACTGATGAATGATTAAATAAAATGTGGTATGTCTGTAGTAGAATATTTTTCAACTGTAAAAAGAAAAGAAGTACTGATACATGCTAGAACATGGATGAACCTTAAAAATAACATTCTAAATGAAAGAAGCCAAACATAAAAAGGCCATAAGTTATATAATTCTATCTATATGATATATTCAGAATAGGCAATTCCATAGAAATTGAGTAGATTAGCAGTTGCTGGGGGTTGGGATGGAGAATGGTGGGGAATGACTGCTAATGATAAGGGGTTTCTTTTGGGGGTAATGAAAATTTTCTAAAATTGATTGTGGTGAGGGTTGCACAAGTCTGTGAATTTACTAAAAACCATTGATTTGTACACCTTAAAAGGATGAATTTTATAGGATGTGGATTATATCTCAATAAAGCTATTATTTTTAAAATCTTACTTATTCTTGAATAAGTACTAGTTCAAAAGCCACAACCAGCACTTCTTGAAGTCTCACAGCAACTTTCTTCTGCTTCTTTTTTTTTTTTTTTTTTGAGACAGAGTCTCACTTTGTTGCCCAGGCTAGAGTGAGTGCCGTGGCGTCAGCCTAGCTCACAGCAACCTCAATCTCTGGGGCTCAGCGATCCTACTGCCTCAGCCTCCCAAGTAGCTGGGACTACAGGTATGCGCCACCATGCCCGGCTAATTTTTTGTATATATATATTTTTTTTAGTTGGTCAATTAATTTATTTCTATTTTTGGTAGAGACGGGGTCTCGCTCAGGCTGGTTTCGAACTCCTGACCTTGAGCAATCCGCCCGCCTCGGCCTCCCAAAGTGCTAGGATTACAGGCGTGAGCCACCACGCCCAGCCTTCTTCTGCTTCTTATTAAGGTTTCCCTTTCCTCTCTTTTACAAGCTGCCTTAATTATCTCTGTATACCCTCCAGCTCCTTATCTAGTTAGTACCATGAACATAGTAAATACTCTATAAAAATGGATCGAATTAAATGGTTTTGAAAAATATATGGAAGGATCATCAAATGCAACAGAAATTTTGAAGAGAAAAGGGACTGCAAAAAGGTTTTGAGGAACATGAAAAGGAAGTCTGTGGCAAGCCAGTGCTTCTACCACTTTTTTAATGTAGTGAGCAGACAACTGTGCTACATTAGCAGATGATCACACAATAAGAATAATAGACAGTGAGCACCGAGCATATGTACAAACCATTAGCAAAGTCAATCTGACACACTTAATGCTATGTATAATTGTTATCGTGCTTCGTAGTAATTAGGCTTAAGTGGTAAGCAATTTACATAAATAACTATAGTTAGTTTTGCTTTTACCCTGCAATGTAAAAATTTTATAATTGCTTCTTCTCCTTTTGTTAGTCTTCCTGTGTATGTGTGTGTGTGTACTGATATCATATAAAGCTTAATTATATAACATAATAATAGCTAACACTTATTGGGTATGTCAGGAACTCTTCTAAGTGCTTTACCTATATCATCTTTTTAAATTTTCATAGCAACTCCACAGTTGCTATGGGCAGATATCATCCTTTTTTTTTTTTCATCCTTTTTTATTGAGTGTTTATTCTGTGTACACCAAGTACTATTTTAAGTGTTTTACATATTTTAAGCTCACATAATTATCACAACAATTATATGAGGTAGCAACTATTATATCTTCCATTTTACAGACACAGAAACTGAAACATAGAGTGGTCAGCCAGCACCTTATGGCTAGTTAAGTGGTAAAGCCAGGACTGGGACCTGGGCAGGCTGATTCTAGAGCACATACTCCTCAACTGCTATGCTTTTCCCTACCCATATTTCCCTTGCTCTTATTCCACCTGCTAGTCCAGGACTCCTGATTCCTGAAAAATTCTTGATAAGTATTTCTGGGAGGTCTAGGTGATCTAAGTGATGTTTTGCACACACTCATAAATAAGCCCACTTAATGATCACATTGTCTCTGCTACTTTTTTTTTTTTTTTTAGAAATGAGGTCTCGTTTTGTCACCCAGGCTGGAGTGTGGAGTACAGTGGCTGGATTATAGCTCACTGAAGCCTTGAACTCCTGGGCTCAAGCAATCCTCCCACCTCAGCCTCTGGAGTCACTGAGATTACAGGTATGTGCCACTGTACCTGGACCTGCTACTTTTTCATCCCTTCATTGCTCCAGCCCTCCCTTCTGCTTCCATGTCCACAAGACAACCCTAACTGCCAGGCACAAGCTCTGCTTTATCTGGAAACCACCAGATCCCCTGAGAATGCTTTCTGGAGACTGTTGCTACTCACACTGGGTTCTATGTATAGCAGAGTAGGAAAGAGTAGGGACAAACAAGTACTAGAGGACCCAGGGTGCAGGGGTGGTTGAGGGGATAGTCATGCTTGCTTAACGACAGGGATATGTTCTGAGAAATTTGTCCTTAAGTGATTTTATCATCGTGCAAACATCATAGAGTGTACTCGCACAAGCCGAGATGCTGTAGCCTATTGCTCCCAGGCTACAAACCTGAACAGTATGTCACTGTACTGAATACTGTAGGCAGTTGTAACACAATGGTATTTGTGTATCCAAACATGAAAAAGGTACAGTAAAAATATAGTATATAAGATTTTTTTAAATGGCACACATGTATAGAGTGCTTACCATGAATGGAGCTTACATTCTCTGGGTGAGTCAGTGAGTGAGTGGTGAGTGAATGTGAAGGCCTAGGACATTACTGTACATTGTTGTAGACTTTATGAATACTGTACACTTAGGCTACATTAAATTTATTTAAATTTTTTTTTCTTTCTTCTGGCCAGGTGCGGTGGCTCACACCTATAATCCTAGCACTTGGGAGGCCGAGGCGGGTGGATTGCTCAAGGTCAGGAGTTTGAAACCAGCCTGAGCAAGGGCAAGACCCCGTCTCTACTAAAAATAGAAAGAAATTAATTGACCAACTAAAAATATATAGAAAAAATTAGCCAGGCATGGTGGCACATGCCTGTAGTCCTAGCTACTTGGGAGACTGAGGCAGTAGGATCACTTGAGCCTAGGAGTTTGAGGTTGCTGTGAGCTAGGCTGATGCCATGGCACTCTAGCCTGGACAACAGAGTGAGGCTCTGTCTCAAAAAAAACCAAAACAAAACAAATTTTCTTTCTTCAATAAGTTAACCTTAGTTTACTATAATTTTTTACTTTATACATTTAAATTTTTTTAACTTTTTGACTCGTTTGTAATAACACTTAAATAGCTTAAAATACAAGCACATTATACAGCTCTATAAATATATTCTTCTTTATACTCTATAAGCTTTCTTCTATTTTAACATTTTTTCCTTTTTTTTACCTTTTAAATTTTTTTGTTACAAACTAGAACACAAACACACTTTTTAAAAAAACTTTTTTGTTACAAACTAGGACACAAACACACTTTTTTGTTAAACTTTTTTGTCACAAACTAGGACACAAACACTTTTTTGTTAAACTTTTTTGTTACAAACTAGGAAACAAACACACTTTTTTGTTAAACTTTTTTGTTACAAACTAGGACACAAACACACTAGGCCTACATAGGGTCAGGATCATCATTATCACTGTCTTCTACCTCCACATCTTGTCTCACTGGAAGGTCTTCAGGAGCAATAACATGCATGGAGCTGTCATCTTCTATGACAACAATGCCTTCTTCTGGAATACTTCCTGGAGGACCTGTCTAAGGCTGTTTTACAGTTTGCTTTTTTTTAATAAGTAAAAGGAGTATATGCTAAAATTATAATTAAAAGTATAGTGTAGTATTATAAATACCTAAACCAGTAACATAGTCATTTATTATAATTGTCAAGTATTACACACTTTACATAATTGTATGTGTCATACTTTACATGGCTGGTAGTGCAGGATCATCACAAACATGTGAGTAATGTGTTGAGTTATGAAGTTAGGATGCTATCATGTCAGTAGGTGATAGGAATTTTTCAACTCCATTATACTTTTATGGGACCACTGTGCATAGCAGTTCATTGTTGACCAAAGCATCATTATGCAGTGCATTACTGTTTATAGGAGCTCTATTTTCTGCTCAATTTTTCAATAAATCTAAAACTCCCCCCCAGTTTCAGTGTCACTGTTGAAATTTATCCAAAAGGAACTTCACTGGGGGTTTTCTTAAGGGGTAAAGGCCTTTTACAGAAGCTAAACCCTCCCCAACATGTGGTAGAATGTGCTCTTCTATATCTACTTCTCAATAAAGCATGTTCTCTGCTCAAAAATAAATAAATAAATAAATAAATAAATAAATAAATAAATAAATCTAAAACTGCTCTTAAAATGTCTATTAATTTTTTAAGTAGGGACAGATGTCTTTGTCTTACTTTTATACCAATACCATGCTGTTTTTATATCTTTTAACCCCCTTTAGAGTTTTATATTTCCACTTGGGTATCAAAAGGATCATTTGTGCTCAAGGGACTTACAGAGTTTTAGTAAAATAATTTTCTCAGTTTTTACTTATAGTATCCCTTCTAGTAACCCCTCCATTGGTTTGTAACCAAGGAGCTTGCTAAAAAAATTCAAGTGACAAGCTTCACTGCTGGATCTTCTCAGTTCTCTTCCTTAAGGGCAAATGTACTCTTGGGAAGATTCCATAATCACTCATTTATGTAAACTTCTGGTACCTGCAGCCCTACTAATTCTCCTAATATACTCAGATATGCTAAATCTAAGTGGCAGGTCCAACTTGGAGCCCTTTCAAAGGTTGGTCCTTTCAAAGAGTGCCATTCTTACAAAGAAATAGGAGATTTAAAAAAAGAATACATTAAATAGAGTCTGTCTGGTGTTGTGTTGATACTATTCCTGGGCTCAGCCTTTGGGGACCTCATGCTAAAAGTGCCTTGCTCACCCAAGAGCAGTGTGCATTGACCTTAGCACACTGCCCACTGTTGATTCACCCACACTGGACTTCTTCCACCCCTATAATGACTCCCTGGAGAATAAGCACCAATGCACTTTCTGATTTTAGGAAAGACTCTTTAATACCTTGGGAGCTGGCAGTTTCCATTGATTCAAAAGCAAACACATAGGGACTAGGATCTGGCCATATAAGCAGAATCATTCCTTAATAAGACTCTGACTGAAACTCTAGCCCTTCTGTGGTCCACAAGAGCCTGAAGAGTGTGGCTTTGGTGACAGCGTCTCCCCCAGACTTGTCCCTGGCCTTACTATGATTTCCAGTGGTGAAGGGCATACGCAACAAGCATCCTCTACCAACTCCCATTAACTGTCAGGTGGCCGTAGTGCTGGCCTAGACAGGACTTGATTCTTTCCCTACCCTGTTCCTGTCTTATGGAGTCTGTCTTGTTTTCATGTTCTTTTACAGGTGTTCCACCAGTCTAGGACAGTGGAGAACAAAATATAAAGTACAGGAGAATCCTCTGAGGGAGTTTATAAACATAAAGACTCTTGGGCCCCAGCTCCAGAGACTCTTATTCAGTAGTGGTGATGGGGGAGGAGGAATAATGGGTGGAAGGGACCTGCATGTCCAAGTCCTTGAGCTGGTTGCATTGAAGATCACCCCACTTGAGAAACCCTGGGCCAGAGGGAGAACAGGTAAATGCCTACAAACATCTAATACCCAAGTCATAATTTGAGGGCCTAGGAGAACTCAAGTTATTTCTTTAATCTTCTGGGGGAAAAATGGCTGTTCCCACTGTAGCAGTAACAAATTGGTGGATGTTCTCTTTGTTGTATCTAGATGGAACACATCTGGTTTTAGTAGCTCTCAAATCTCTCATTGGTCATTGCCTTGAAAGGATGGGTCTCTGACTGCACTGAGTATTAAAGTCATGGATCTCTTTCCTTCTTTGCAGATTTACTTTGTGTATGTGTGTGTGTTTTGTTTTTTTTGTTTGTTTTTTTTTTTGAGACAGAGTCTCACTTTGTTGCCCAGGCTACAGTGAGTGCCATGGTGTCAGCCTAGCTCACAGCAACCTCAAACTCCTGGGCTCAAGTGATCCTGCTGCCTCAGCCTCCCGAGTAGCTGGGACTACAGGCATGCGCCACTATGCCCGGCTAATTTTTTGTATATATATTTTTAGTTGGTCAATTAATTTCTTTCTATTTTTAGTAGAGATGGGGTCTTGCTTAGGGTGGTTTCAAACTCCTGACCTCGAGAAATCCGCCTGCCTCGGCCTCCCAGAGTGCTAGGATTACAGGTGTGAGCCACCACGCCCGGCCTGCAGATTTACTTTGTATTATAGAGTGTTCTCCTAGCAATTACCACTGACTTGTTTATGCCCATCTTCCCCATATCAGGAATAAAATATTTTGAGGGATAAAATATGCCCACAAGTATTCTGAGTCTTTGTCTAGGGGCTATCTGTCCTGTAGCCCCGCCACTCATGGAGGCCTTTAATGCCAGAGCTATTATTTTACATTCTTAGACCACCTCTGCACTCTTGTCACCAATCCCAAAGTGAGTCTTTAACTCACTCTTTGGTCTATACTTTTTTCTATATGCTTCTAAGGCCCCCTCATGCTTCTTACAAGTTAATTTACCAACAGCAGAATTTGAGATCTCTCTCATTTATTGTGAGCTCTTACAGTAATGTCTCACTGTAAGTAGCTTTTTTTTTTTTTTGGTGATTGATGGATGTATACTATAAGTAGCTTCTGCTGACACTCGCTCCTATCTAGGCTGGTTAGCCAGACTGTGTCCTTGTCTTCACCACCTTCCACCACAGCTCCTCTACTATGAACACTTACAAGGAAGTTCTTTCCCCTTCCTTTCAATGCCCGTCAAAGTCCTCGCTATTCTCTTCATTACTAAATATCTTTTCAAATGTTGTTAAATAGCAAATGGATACAGATGCATTAGCAGTTTTGAGGCTGTGGGTAACCTCTAAAGCAGAGCCCTGTGGACTTTATATCATTGCCTATTGCTTCTCTGCTCTGGAGGCCTTCTAACCTTGCAGCACCTCAGTGTCTATAATCTAGCCACAATCCAGCCACAGTTAAAAATTCTTTTATTTAGGGCTCTATAGCTCCTTAAATGTCCACATCTTTCTGCATTATGTGGCTTCTCTCATGGGCTATATTGCCTCCTGAATTACCTATTCCATAATCAGCCAGATCCTCAGTAAAATTTTTTCCCAGGGAGCTGGGACAGGAGGGGAGGGACTTTGGATCAACCCAAATACAAATGTCACAGCTTCTCTTTTAGCTCTTGGAAAGTCTCCAAGTTTCTTTTCTTTCATTTGTTTGTTTGTTTGTGTGCTTTGGTTGTGGTTTTTGTTATTTCTTTTTTTTTAAAACCTAACATTCATTATCCTTAGATACACATACACACTAATAGACAAAGCCTTTCTTCACCTGATACCATTTGAAGAAGTTTATATTATTTTACCACCTTAGCAAGTTCACAGAAAATTGAAAGTTCCCATTCTCTATCAATTTTATCTAATTGTGGACAAGGGGTTTAAGCCACTATCCAATTAGTTTCAACCATTTATTCCTATTTTGGGGCATCTCCCCAAACTAGCATAGCCCATGAGATGGTTGAAACATAACACAATGTGATGTGTACCACATCACATTGGATGAGTAGCAGTTTAGTGGCCATGGTGAGAACACATGCCTGATTACATATAGCCCATGCCACAGATGGGCACTGGATCAAGAGGGCCAAGCACTATGCTACATTTACATTAACTTTTCCTTTTGCTCAACTAGGACCTTGTTACTAAGCCAGTTTTATGTGTTGGACTCACTCTCCCTTACTATGAGCATTCCTTCCCAAGAAGCTATGCAGTCTTGTGTCTTACAGACTAGCCTGACTAGTTTGCCAGGTGTACCTTGATGTGTTTGAATTCCAGTAGTTAATGTAGCTTAGACTTAAGGTAGGGTTACTCTTTTCCCCACCCCACACATAATTTTATTTTATTTTATTTTTTTTGAGACAGGGTCTTGCTTTGTTGCCCAGGCTAGAGTGAGTGCCGTGGCATCAGCCTAGCTCACAGCAACCTCAAACTTCTGGGCTCAAGCAATCCTGCTGCCTCAGCCTCCCGAGTGGCTGGGACTACAGGCATGCGCCACCATGCCTGGCTAATTTTTTCTCTATATATTAGTTGGCCAATTAATTTCTTTCTATTTATAGTAGAAATGGGGTCTTGCTCTTGCTCAGGCTGGTTTTGAACTCCTGACCTTGAGTAATCCACCTGCCTTGGCCTCCCAGAGTGCTAGGATTATAGGCGTGAGCCACCGCGCCCAGCCCCCACACATAATTTTAAAAAGCAAAGGTTCTGAATTTGAATCTCCAGAATATGATGTTTTCTTCTCAACACCCAGGACTTTCATCTTAATGCCCTCTGATCACTTCTTTTTTTAATTTTTTTTATTTTAGCATATTATGGGGGTACAAGTGTTAAGGTTACAAATATTGCCCATGCCCCCCTCCCCCCTTGAGTAAGAGCTTCAAGCGTGTCCATCCCCCAAATGTTGCATATCTTACTCGTTTTCTTTCCGTCTCTCTTAACTTTCCTCACAAATCTTTAAGTAACATTTTTGGCTTCTGTCTAACCTTTAATCCCATCTCTTAAGGTCCATAAAACGTCTCTGAGTCATGAGGCTCTGCCTGTCCTACTTCAGGAGAGACCATCTGATTACCATAATTGTGGTGATGGCCCAAGGGGAAAGAAGTGGTAGTGAATGAACATAGATTGCAGATCTTCTCCATCTAGAGATTTGGCACATAGAAGTACATAGAAAAGGGGTTAAAAGATTAAGGGGTTACTGGTCTGATTTCCTAAAAAGAAAAAAAAGATTAAGGGGAGAGTCCAGAGTATGGACGCTGCCTGGAGCTATATCTAGAAGGTGCTCCAGTGACACAACTTTCTCTTAGAATGAGTTTCTGACAGCAGCTTTTCACTCCATAGAACTCTCAAGATGCCTTGGGCTGGGAAGAACCCAAAGACAGCTCTTTCTGAGTAAGTTTCCTTGTGGCTCTTTCTATCCTCCACTATGTCTGACCCACAGAACACACATGCACAAGCACACGCAGAGATATGTACATACACACACATATAATTAAACAGAAGGTAGATCCTACTAAGAACTGTGAAATAATACCCCATTATTCCAAAAATTTTTTTCCACTATCCCTCTCTGACAATACCTGAGGGTATTTAAACTAGGAACAACTCACTGTACAATTACAGTTAAGTTTATGCAAAATTTTTTCCAAGGGTGAACAGCGTGACTAATTTTTATCCATTCTAAAGTATAAACAATTGAAACCAGGCTTTCCTATTTAGCTAGGGGAAGGGATTAGGAAGTAGACGGTACATCACCTGTAATCCTAGCACTCTAGGAGGCCGAGGCAGGCAGATTGCTTAAGGTCAGGAGTTCGAAACCAGCCTGAGCAAGAGTGAGACCCCATCTATATTAAATATAGAAAGAAATTAATAGGCCAACTAAAAATATATATATAGAGAGAAAAAATTAGCCGGGCATGGTGGTACATGCCTGTAGTCCCAGCTACTCAGGAGGCTGAGGCAGGAGGATCGCTTGAGCCCAGGAGTTTGAGGTTGCCGTGAGCTAGACTGACACCACAGCACTCTAGCCTGGGCAACACAGTGAGACTCTGTCTCAAAAAAAAAAAAAAAGGAAGTAGAAGGTACAAGATATCTGAAGTCTTGAAGGAAAGAGAAGTATTAAGAATTTCAGAGACAAATTTCCTCCTACTTAACAATGCGTCAAGAGAAAACAAAGCTGATATCAATGGAGAGATTTATTTCAGTAGGGACATGGAACAGAAGCCAGATTATAGAGTGTAAAGAGTTATGATGGATATATACAACCACAACGAGTAAGATATGCAACGTGTGGGTGATGGACACCCTTGAAGGTCTTACTAGAGGGGGGAAAGGGGGAATGGGCAATATATGTAACCTTAACACTTGTACCCCCATAATACACTAAAAAAAGAAAAGAGTTATGAACTGAAAGCAGCTGGTGTCAACTCATTGGAGGAGTATGGCCCTGAAAGGAAAAAGACAAAGAAGAAATGACTGCAGTGGAGATTGGAGCTCAGGGAAGATTTTTCTCAAGATGAATATCAAAGGAAAAATTCAGGAATGAGTACTTTGTGTCATATTCCCCCATATCTATTTCACTGATTTAAACTCCATCTCTTTCTTCAAAGGGAGTCCAGCCCTGTAAATAATTCTAAAAATATTTTTATAAATGTGAATTTTCTATATAATAATACAGTGTCCTAAAATATGAAAAAAAAAGTCTTATAAACCAATTGGCTAAAAAATTTAAATAGGTGTGTCAGTTTCATTAGAAGTCCTTATATTAAAATGTATATTAAAATCCTACATTATTTCAAATCCAGCCCTTGGCAGATAATTATTGGCAAAGGCCATATAGTAGCCCACAGGACAACTGTGTACCACGGATCTCTGCAAAACAATCTCAAGCAGATTCCTTCCCAAACAAATTACAAATTTTGTAGGGATAATCTTTTTTCCTGTAACTGAAATGTCATTTGTATTCCAGGATATTTTATAGAGTGATAGGCTGCCTTTTCTTGTTCTCATTCCCTTCCTTCTTTATGTATTGTAGCAAGCTCTGCTGAGAAACACTGAGCTACAAAACACTTCAGCACTTAGCATCTAAATGAGGATTCTAATGGGAAATAAGCTGTACTCACTCTCTTTTCCTTGGTCTCTAAGTGAAAGCTGCTAAGGAACAGCTCAAGCCACTTTTCCCAGAAAGCCTGGGCTCACAGGACCTTCTACCACAATCATTATGGAAGCAGAGAATTTTGTTTTGTTTTTTCATCTTGTTACCTTGCTCCCTGTAGTACAGACTTTAGAAAATATTTCATGTTCTCAATTGCATTGACGGATACAATACTACTTTATCTCAGTATAGTAGAAGGTAGGTGTACGTGGTAACTCTAAGAATTATCCTGTGAAATAACTAGGTGAACAGTTCAAGGTAAGAAAATTGAAAGGCTTTGGCACTTTAGTAATATTTTCACTACTTAATGGAACTAAATCCAAATGGGTTGTAAAATTGTTCTCTCCCCAGTCTGATCCAACTATTCATTTCTGTTGCCTTTGCTAACCAGCTGTAGCTCCAATAGAAATAAACTCAAAGATGTCTTTGAATGACTTATCTCCTTCTGCTAATTTGTATTCTTGGTTTTCCCCCAAAGGCAATCATATCTTTACAATGTTCCCCAAAATTCATTCTATTATTGACCTAAATTTCTCAGACACAGAAGATTCCTTTTCCTAGCCCTCTTCTGCCTATTTTGAACCATGGTAGTATTTGGAAGATTTAGACTAAGATAAATATATGCAGTTGAAAATGCTACAGAAAGTATAAAAACATGATTGGTTAAGGATTGATAACAGTTGAAGCTGAGTTATAGGGGGTTCATTATATATGCTGTTCTCTCTACCTTCGTAAAGAAAAATTTCCAAATTATAAAATTTTAAAAAGAGAATGCTCCTGAAGCCATAATCTATAGAATCTGGGCTCCACCAAATGCCTAGGATTGAGGCAAAGAAATGTCAGAGCAGATAAGGTGAATAATTTATTGGTTCATTATTTATTATCCTGGGTATTGGTATGGAATGGAACCTTCAAAGTCTAATATGGTAAACCTGAAGAGCCTGAGAACAGGAAAAGGACTGAGATCTATGGCAGCAAACAGTGATTACAGTTTTGAAAGAAGAGGAAATTCCTACTTATGTAGGATGGTTTAAGTTTGGTCTGGAGAATATAAGAATTTCATCTATAGAGTTGCATAGAAAGACCAAACTATTGTCCCTCTTAAACGGTCTTATTGGGACTACTGGAACATAGCCTCATACTATGCTGGTACCAGAGGATGATGAAGTTGAGAAAACAACCTATTAAAAAGTGAATTTGGACAGGTCAGATAATGGTGAACCTAAATCATCCCCTTGTGGTCTGATTTTCTCTTGGTTTGGAGAAAACTCTAACCTAAGAAGCATACAGAGAAATAAAATGATCAATAACAAGGGCTTACAATAAAGATTGACAAAAACAAACCATAAAAGTTTGGCATGTAATGAGACTGGAGAGTCTGTCCGAAGAGGATGGTAGTTTCTTTTGAGAGGCCCTTGGAGTGTAGGTATATTTCAAACGGGAGGCAATGGGGAATGTTATTTATGTGAACCAAGCTCAGAGTTTCCCTTAACTGTTAACCCTGCCTGATCCTTTACCTAGTTAAAAAAAAAAAAAAATCTGCTTTCTGAAAAATGAGGATTTATCTTACGAAAAATTGTATTGACTGCACTCTCTAAGCCATATGAATTCTCCTCTACCTTTCTGATGGAAATAGAATCACTGGATTCCAGGAAAAAGGAACTTTATTAATCGTCCTAAGAGAGAATAGCATTGCCCAGTATAGAGGAGCATTAAACCAATTATCCCAGCTGAGAAAAAGGAAAAAAGTAATCTCTTTTCATAGATGAGAGAAGGTTTGGATTAAAACTACTTTTCTTCTGGTCCTTTTTTATGCCCCATTTGTCTCTATGTAATAACACAAAAAGGAGGTCCTTTTTGTGTCATATTATCAAAGAAGAAGAAGAAGGAGGAGGAGGAGGAGGAGGAAGAGGAAGGAAGGAAGAAGAAAGAAGGAAGAAAGAAGAAGAAAGATGCACCTCAGAGCATTCTCCTCATCGCTTGCACAAACTGGGTTGATGAGAAGAGCTGTAATGAAGTGTCTCTTCCTAGGATCTCATAGCCTTTGTTGTTAATAATAATTATAATAATAATAATTATTGTCTTTCACAACAGGTGAAATAGTAACTCTGAAAGGAAAAACATAGGGCTCAAGTTGTTGAGGAAATCCCGTTATAAAACTGAGAATTAAACTTCTCTGGTCATGTTTCAAGCCCTCAGGTCTTCCTACAGTGCAGCTGCTCATTTATCTAGTCCCTCAGAGTTACTCCATGCACTTTTTTATGGACCAGGGAAGCTATTAGATATGTGACTTTTTTTTGCTTTTTTGTTTTCTTTCTTTTTTCTTTTCTTTTCTTTTTTTTTTTTTTTTTTTTTTTTAGGTTCTAGTTAAACAGAGTTATATTGACCAGTAGACTGCAGTGGTGCAGTCATAGCTCACTGCAACCTCCAACTCCTGGGTTCAAGTGCTCCTCTCCCCTCAGCTTCCCAAGTGTCTGGTACTACAGGCACACACCACCATGCCTGGCTAATTTTTTTACTTTTTGTAGAGATGAGATCTGACTGTTTCCCAGGCTGGTCTAGAACTCCTGACCTCAAGTGATCCTCCCATTTTGGCTTCCCAAAGTGCTAGGATACCACACCTGGCCAGGATATGTGAGTCTTTTTTTATTGGCATATTATTTTCTAGATTCCAAAGCAGTTTCTCACATCTTACTTTTCATTTTTTTCTCTAACTTCAGAGATTCTCAGTCTCTTCAAGGATAAGACTCCCTTCCTAATGTGACACAGTTTAGTGGACACTCACTTGATTGTACTTGTTCTTTTTATATCTGCTAGTGGAAAAACTCAGCATAACAAAAACTTACCATGACAAAAAACTATCAGGAATTCAATAATTTTTAAATGAGTTTGTATTTTATTGTTCATAATATACATTTGAAAATAGTAGCACATACATGTAGAGAGCAATAATTTTGGCTATACACAATGGTGAGAAGATGGATTCCTACAATAACTGATCTCTTGGGTAATCAGGGGTCCCACGTGTTATTATCAGATGAAATTTCAAGAGCCATAGAAAGGTTACTCTAATAACATAAACGAAGAGAACCAAAGGATGATGTTTTTCAAAAGCTGTCTTAAATTTCAAAGATTTTACATAAATGCTTACCCTATTGCAGAAGAGAAACTGACCCTGCTTAAATCCCTACTACATACCTTTAGAAAGACATGGAGGTAGTAATCTCTGTTAAAGAATGAGAGCAGAGCCATGGTTGATCTCTGTGTCCCATTGCATCTTTCTCATTTGGTGACTGAGGCAGAGAGAGAGAGAGTAAGAGATGGACAGAACTGGGCAAGACCCAGTATTATTATGAGACATCATTTGGAGTAAAATGGGGTCAACTGTTAAGAAGGCATTTTCTAGGCCTGTTCATTCTAGATGAGTAAGTGCATTGGAAGAAAACTCAAACTGGCTCATCTCTGACAATTATAATTATTACCCTCAGCTTGGCTGTATCATGCATTCCTATTCTCTCTCTTTTTTGAGGGGGAGCCATAAGAATTAAGAAAAACAAATTCAAAGAAAAGATTTTTCTCAAGTCACAGAAGAATAATTCTCTTCAGAATTGTCCCAATAATAAGAAACTGTGAAAAAATCTTTTTTTAAAACAATTGTCTTATACTGATTTACCTAGTAAAACTGCATATGATAGATGAATGTCATCATTATTTTCTCCCTTTCAAGCTTAGGAATTTCTGTTGATGGACTCGTTCAGACAGTAATTTCAGACAGCCCTACAATTGAACAGCCAAGCAGAAATTGTGGTTCTTTATTTGTTAAATGCTTTTGAGTTCCTTACATAAAAGATTGATAATGAAGTATGAAGAGAAACATTTCAAAGGCTGCACTTGGTCAAATTTCTCTGTATGGCACAAAGGGGAAGATGACCTTATACAAAACCCTGATAGTTTCATTACAAGAATAATCAAATTTTAATGTTAAAGTTAAAAATCACTTTTCAAATGCTACCAAAACCAGATTCTTGGCAGAGTATAAATGTTTAATTCAAATTGGGGCTTATAGGAAAAAGCAATTAAAATCTAATTCATTACACAGGAGATTTGTACATTTTCTTCTGAAAGTCAGGCAAGGCGAGAAGGGGTTCTTAAACCCTGTTTTTAAATTAGAACTTTCTTTCACATCTCTTTTTTTCTTTTTCTTTTTGAATCCAGACACTTGAATTTGGACAGACAAGCAACCCAGCCACCTTTCAGTGTGGCTGTGTCAGTATCGGAATGAAATGAACATGACCCCCTCCAGCAGGGAAGGGAACACACAGTAAAGGTATTTTTTATAGAACAATTCTTCACACCGCCCTGGTGACTAGGGAAAGGAATCTCGTGTTTCTCTTTTGCTGATACTGAATCAGCTGAAGAATACCATGAACATCAGTAGAAATGCTCTGAAATAGTCTCCTCTCCCTTTTGTCTTTTTGTTCTCATGAAAGGGAGAGAAGAGAGATTTTTTTTAACATTGAAATATTTAATTAAAATGCCAATTAAAAATGGACCAATTATTTGGTGGTACATTTTATAATCAGAAATGTTGCCAATTATCACATCAACTTGCAAATAGTTGTATTAAGTTGGCATATCAACACTCCAATAAAGATGGCTATACTACTCATTTATGATAAGAATACACTCTCCATAATTAGCACAAGCAGCTTATTTCAGCAAAGAAAGTCCTATTCTTGCTTCCTCAACAGTTTATGTAGCAATTGGATTTATATTTTGGATAAATAGATAGTCAAAATGAGAACAGATCAAGGGAGAGACTGAGCTTATATCTGAATTGGAGAGAAACTCCAAACACCCTAGCAACCTGCATTCTGTATGTTATTGTGTGCTTGCTTATTAACTGTTGGAGGTATAGATACTTTATGTGGTTTCCAAGAACTAAATGAGAATGGCGATAATATTCTCTATCATTTGTGCAATGCTTTATCATTTACAAGTTTATTTTCATATATATTATCTGATTTTCTGAGCAATTTGGAAATTTTTGTAAATTGAACAAATTAAATTTGTAGAGAAGTTTAGATTTTGAAAATATCTAGTTTTAACCATGTTTATTAACCCAATACTAACTCAGTAGTTCAAATAAATTTTTAATGTCTAGGAAGTGATACTATGAGCAGTTAGAGTATTCTGAAAAAATTAAAGTCAGAGAGTACAAAATAAGATCACATTGCATTTTGTCTCTAGCCTTCATCTCAAGATCAGATTCAACACATAGTAGAACCTGCTTTGGGACACCTCCTCTCCTCCTCAATACTGACATCAGGATTTGGTAAAAAGGGCTACTGTACATTTCCCCCCAAAATCACTTGGGATATTTGTGGTATAGCAATTTATAAAAATAGGAACCCCCTATCTTTTAATCCTTTATTGATAGGGATCCTAATGATTTACTGAAATTAGCCGCAAATTTAGGAAGAGCCCTATTCCATAGGACAGTTTTTCCCAGGAGAGATCTCAAGGTTTCCTACATTTATGGAAATGAAAATGAGTTTTCTCTAATATATTACATACACTTACCTATTCCTAGTTCCAGGTAGGAGTCCAGATTACTTACCAGGTATGGCTGAGTGGGAGGACACAGGTAAAAAGAAAGATGCACACAGAAGGCTTCATAAGAAACATAATCCTCTGGAGTGACAGAGAAAATTCTAAAAAATAGGGTGATAGAGAAGCAAGATTGGAAGTAGTCTCCTCAGAGGTAGTGGGATGGAATTCTCAAAGCCCAACTTCCTTGGTGTGTAAGCGATCCCAAACAGAGTTAAGGGGAGGTGAAATGGAGCTGCCAAACGTCCAAAGAAGAGATTATCTACTTAATTAAAGTTTTTTTTTCCTCTCTAAGTCCTTCAGCCAATCAGAACTCAAGTGCCAGAAAAAGATTGAGTCGATCAAAAGAACACTCCAGGATCCTCCCAGACAAATGCAGAAGAAGGGGACCAGGAGAAAGAGGACAAAGAAAGAAGGGGGGTGGGGGAAGAGACATAGCAAATCCCTTCTACATAATCACTGCGTGGAGTCTCTCTTTCCTCCCTCTTGCCTGTCCCCTCCCACCACACCACAACCTTCCCCCACCCACGCACACTGACACACACACACACACACACACACAGCCGAGTCCCCAAAAGGGATTTAGAAGGGTCTGTGCTTTCCCAGTTGTCCTTTGTAGCGCTTTGAGACTGAATTTGCATTCAGAATAGCTTTCTTCAGAAAAAAAAAATAGACCATGTACGGTGAACCTCAGGCCCTCTGATTTGAGCATGTGTGGACACAACTCAACCATCTTGTGTATTCTCTCTCTAAGTTAGGAAGAAGATCATGAAACTTCAGAAACTTTTGCATCACACGATTACTTACCAAACACTATTACGTTCCCAGCCCTATACCTAAGCATTGTGGAAATGTTTAAAAACAAAAACATGATTTCTGCCCTAAAGACATTTACAACTTAGTAAAGTGATAATAAATAAAAGAATGTAGTTTTAATAAAGTATTAAATTGCTAAAAACTGACTACAATCATGCAGGCTTATTTACGGGAGGTTTTCTGAAGAAGGAAGAATGTGAGTTTCAAAGAGGTGATGAGATTCAAAGTGATCTCAAAATCCTTAACCTCTTCAACTCAGATGGTAGGGCCACGAACACACTCAAGCCCTTGCTCACACTTCTCTGAGTTGTGTCTCACCTGTTCCCCTACGGAGGAAGTGTTGCCTCTGTCATAGTGCAAATGCTCCTCAAGGACTACAAACTTACTTCCATCTAGCCATGTCTTCTGTTTCAGAATCCATATCACCTTTCTTAAGGGCTCCCCAAAGACCATGTTCTCTTCCTTTATCCTTGTTCCTCTTGCTTCCAAACCCTCTCTGGCCAGATCTACCCTGGCAAACTGAACTGGAAAATAAGGAATTATTAAATTAATTAATTATCTAGATTATTTGGGCCAGATGATTTAGGTATCTTGACCTCAATATATATTTTTTTTGCCTTTTAATTTTTATTATTCAAAACTTCATTTTCTTATTTAGCTTTCTGGCTCTGCGCTTGTGCCTTCAACACCTTCACAACGATTTTCTGCTCCTCAATAAGGAAAGCACGCTTTATCCCGTCACAAACACATTTAGCACACATGGAACCACCGTAGGCCCTGTTGACATGGTTTTTGTTTTTTTTTTTTTTAGACAACCTCATAAGAACTTTAGGTCTCACAGCACGAACCCCTGGAAGTCTACCTGGGCACACATCACATGCAGATTTTGGTGCTTTCCCAACCTTCTCGGTAAAAAGGTAAACAATTCTATTACCAGGGGTTCAGGACAGCCTAGTTTTGTTAGAAGCTGTATTGTAGGAAAGCCTATGACAATATGTCAAACGCTGTACCATTTTGAGTGTGGCTTTGGAGAAGCAGCCAGGATCGAGGAGTTTCCGAAGCTAAAAGAAGGGAACCTGCTCACCGCCAACCTCCCTCTTGCTCCTCTCACCTCTATGCTAGCTCAAAAGACTGTTCTAAGAGCTCTCAGCTCCTGCAACATCTCGCATGGTGACCGATTGTAAAGAGACTAAAGATGAGGGGAAAAAATTAGCTCCCATACCTGCAGCAACCTCAATATTTTGACTGTGTAATTTTGTTGTCCACATGGAATCTTCCAGATCAGGTATTATTTGGGATTCCAAACCTTATTGTGAGATGGCTGAGTCAGTTTTGACCCCCTCCTACACACACACACACAAACAACTGTAGATCCTTCTCTCTGTCTCTCTCTCTCTCTGTCTTCACTCAGAAAGGGAGCAGTAGAGTCAACTTTAGACCAAGAGGTTAAGTCCTAGGAAGGTAAGGAATTCCAATTTTGACTTCTTTCGTATCCACAGAAGGCAGGGTTCTTGCCATTTACTTGACTAGGGAATTCCTCAGGGATGGAATAAGTCATTAGGAGATAGAGCAGATTTGGGCCGTTTGTATGTGAAAAGGGAGAGTTAATTTAAAACAAGTTCCTTGTGACACTGTCCTACTCCCTCAGAATTTCTTCCACAAAAGGAAAAATTTAATACTTTTATTGATTTTTACAAAACTAATATATTCTTATTATAAAAACAAATGACAGGCCAGGCGCGGTGGCTCATGCCTGTAATCCTAGCACTCTGGGAGACCGAGGTGCGCGGATCGTTTGAGCTCAGGAGCTTGAGACCAGCCTGAGCAAGAGCGAGACCCCATCTCTACTATAAATAGAAAGAAATTAATTGGCCAACTAATATATAGAGAAAAAATTAGCTGGGCATGGTGGCACATGCCTGTAGTCCCAGCTACTTGGGAGGCTGAGGCAGAAGGATAGCTTGAGCCCAGGAGTTTGAGGTTGCTGTGAGCTAGGCTGACACCAGAGCACTCACTCTAGCGTGGGCAACAGAGTAAGACTGTCTCAAAAAAAACCAAAAAAACCCCACAAATGACAGAAATACAGCAAGTGCAAATCCCTTTTGGTGACCCTCCTTCTCCCCTCTAAGGTAACAAATGTTAAGTTTTGGATGATCTTTCTGGTTTTTAAAATATGTATATGTGGTTATAAATGTACATAAACATTTTTCACAAAAATGAGACTATGTAAATTATATTTTGCAAATTGCTTTTCTTAATAATATATTTTATGTTCTCTGAGAGTTTTCCTTAAAAAAAGAAAAAAATAAGCCGGGCGCGGTGGCTCATGCCTGTAATCCTAGCACTTTGGGAGGCTGAGGCGGGCGGATTGCTCAAGGTCAGGAGTTCGAAACCAGCCTGAGCAAGAGCAAGACCCCGTCTCTACTATAATAGAAAGAAATTAATTGCAACTAATATATATATAAAAATTAGCCGGGCATGGTGGCGCATGCCTGTAGTCCCAGCTACTCGGGAGGCTGAGGCAGCAGGATTGCTTGAGCCCAGGAGTTTGAGGTTGCTGTGAGCTAGGCTGATGCCACGGCACTCACTCTAGCCTGGGCAACAAGCGAGACTCTGTCTCAAAAAAAAAAAAAGAAAAAGAAAAAAAAGAAAAAAATAATATATTTTATAGTTTTCTATGTTAGGTCCAAAAGATATCTTTCTTTCTCTCTCTGTCTCTCTCTCTCTTCTTTCTCTCCCTTTATTTTAAAGAGTCAAGGCTGGGCGTGGTAGCTCACGCCTGTAATCCTAGCACTCTGGGAGGCCGAGGTGGGAGGATTGCTCGAGGTCAGGAGTTCAAAACCAGCCTGAGCAAGAGCAAGACCCCGTCTCTACTATAAATAGAAAGAAATTAATTGGCCAACTAATATATATTGAAAAAATTAGCCGGGCATAGTGGTGCATGCCTGTAGTCCCAGCTACTTGGGAGGCTGAGGCAATAGGATCGCTTAAACCCAGGAGTTTGAGGTTGCTGTGAGGTAGGCTGACGCCATGGCACTCACTCTAGCTTGGGCAACAAAGCAAGACTCTGTCTCAAAAAAAAAAAAAAAATTAAAAAAATTAAAGAGTCAGATATTGTAAACTGTTAGGTGTACAAGTAATCTTATTTTGCTGAATATTTAGGTTTTAGTCTAATGCAGGAGTTGAAAACTTTTAAATTTATTTTCATTTGGATTTAAGTATTGCTATTTTAATCATCTTGATAAGGAAGAATAGGGTCTCTATATCAATGGCTTAGGTGCAATGGATTATAAAGAAAATTATGAATTCCACCATACTTTGTTTTCAACTCTATAACCCTCTTAGTCTCCTCTCATAATTTTCAAATCCTAGGTCTGGAATTTCCTCTTGGTGGCCTCAAATCAGGAGTCCCATGTAAAAATGTGCTACATCTGCATTATTCCTCTAAAACTGAGCTATATTACATTATTCAATAAATTTTACTATTATAAATATTTAAAAATAAGATGTTCTTAGATCTTTTGGGTTTTATGCCAGCTACTGATTCATTGAAGCATTTTGCAACCAAATTTCTTAATTTTTTATCCTAATTTATTTTCTGAAGGTGTTTGCTTGATAATATTATTAATATTTTAGACCTAAAATATGGAAATTAAGGCAGATGGCAGAAAAGCAATATACTGAATACTACTAGTGATATTACTCTTTTAAATTATTGTTATTAATACCCTGATACTGCTGTAGTTTATTCTTTATTTAAAACTTAAATATTAGCACATTTGTTTTGTTGTACTTTTTCCTGAAAAAACATGGAAATGTTAATTTGTCTATGTATTTAATTGGCAAAAACTTAATGACCTATGATATGTCAGGCCCTGTGTAAGATGTTGAATCGTAGTGATAAAGGAAGCTGCCACTACTGGAAGAACAGACAAGTAAACACTCAAAAGTACCAAGGGAGAGAGACACATGGAGCTCTTTAGGAGTGTGGAGGTGGTCTACCTAAAGGACAGGAGAGAGAGACAGAGGCTTTCTAGGAGATGCAAAGACTTGAAAAAAATTGAAGAAGAGTTCATCAATAGTGATGGAAAGGAAGGGGTTCCATCTAGAGGAAATAACAAAAGACATTACAAATCTGTGAAACAAGAGAGTACTTTTGGAAAACTACTATTAATACTAGTTCATTGTGGCTGGAGTTGTATAACAGAGAGATAGAGGAAAGGCCAGAGAAATTAGATAGGATGTAGGTGGGGAAGGGCCTGTGCTAAAAAGTTTGGATTTTATCATTATGAAGGCAACTGGAAGCCATCAAAGGGTTTAAGCAGACGTATAACATAAACTTTGTATATTAGAAGACTATTTTTTGGCAGTGATGAAATATGGCTTAGAGAGGGTGATATGGAAGACAGAGACAATTTTAGGGCCAGTTGCAGAAATCCATGTGAGAAAAGACAAAGGCTGAATTATGGTAGCAAAGAAAAGAGGATGAAATCAGATATATTCAGTAATTAGATATATTACTAATTACAACAGGCAAATTAAAACAATGAGAAAACCCTTATCAAATTGGCAAAGGTTTAAAAAAAATGAGATCCAATATTCACAAACGTATTGTGTTTTGTGAAATGGCCATTTTATATACTGCTAGCAGAAGTGTGAATTATTCCAATGTTTTTGAAGTGAATTTGATAACATGAACTTAAAACTTTAAGGATATTAATACACTTTGACCCAATAATCATCTTTAGGAATTTATCCTAAAGAAGTAATCAGATATGTTTATCAAGATGTATATACAAGGTTATTGAATTATTACAATGAGGACGGGTGTGGTAGCTCACACCTGTAATCCTAGCCCTTTGAGACATCAGTGCGGGAGGATCACTTGAGGCCAGGGGTTCAAGACCAGCCTGGGCAAGAGCAAGACCCCCACTCTATTAAAAAAAAAGAATTAGCTGGGTGTGGTGACATGCACCTGTAGTCCTTGCTACTGGGAGGCTGATGAGGGAGAATTGCTTGAGGCCAGGAGTTCCAGACCAGCTGGGCAAGAGCGAGACCCTTTTACAAAAAATAGAAAACTTAACTGGGCATGGTTGGCACACGCCTGTAATCCCAGCCACTTGGGAGGCTCGGCTGAGGATTGCTCGAGCCCAGGAAAAGAGGTTGCAGTGAGCTATGATAATGCCACTGGACTCTGGCCTGGACAACAGAGCAAGACACTGTCTCTCCACCCCACCCCCCCAAAATTATTACACCTAATAGCTTTAGTAGAGCACTTTTAGAATGTCTACCCAGCTCATAATGACCACTTTTATGAGTTATCTTACCTCCAGTGGGGGCCCTCCAGCAGCAGGGATTTTGTACCACATGCCAGCCTTCCGCCACCATAAATGATTATAAATAACTGGGTGCTCTCCCCAGCTGAGCCAAGCAGGTTTCCTTCCCTGGGAATTTGGATGAAAGAGAGAATGACAAGAGAGGAAAATGTATCTCTGTAAACCTGAGCTTCTCATTGTCTCCTGAATATTCCATATTTTTTTCAAAAGGAGAAGAATGCTGAGAGCAGAAAGGAGAAGCATGAGATAGCAAAATTCTTTCTAAAATAGATAACAAAGGAGAGAAGAATTTAGAGAATCTAGAAGCCCTATAGCAGTAGATGGATGGGGTCAAAGCTCATATGTTGTTGAATATTTGCACAACAACAAATGACTGCATCAACTTCAGTAAGTGTACCTGGCTGAGACACTTTAATATTAAATAACAGAACTTGTGGAGATGACACCCCCTTTCACAGTCACTGACCTCTGCTCAGAATTCCCTCTCTTAGTGAGGACAGTCTGGGCAGGAAGTAAGCAATGACTGAAGGGTCCTGATTAACCCATTCCATTTTACTTTACCGTTTCATTTCTACTGGCTTTTCAAGGATGCTCAGATTGGAAGCAATACGCCATGCCTGAGAAAGAAAAAATGTATATAGAAAACTAATTTTTGTGATATATTGATTTCTTATAGCTGCTACTATATAACAAAGTACCACAAACTGGGAGGCTTAAAATAAACAAAAGGTAGTCAGTCTCTCATAGCTCAGAAGGCAGAAGTTCAAAAGTAAGGTGTCAGCAGGACTGGTTCCTCCTTGGGGGCTCAGAGGAAGAATCTGTTCCAAGACTTTCTCTTAGCTTCTGGTATTGCTGGCAATCCTTGGCATTCCTTGGCTTGTAGACCATCATTCCAATCTCTGCTCTGTCATCACATGGTGTTCTCCCTGTATGTCTGTGTCTCTGTTTCTCTTTTCTTCTTATAAGGATGCCAGTCATATTGGATTAAGAGTCTACCCCAGCATGACCTCATCTTACCTTGACTAATTACATCCACAACAACTCTAAGGTCATGTGCTGAAGTATTAGAGATTAAGGTCTCAATATATCTTTTGGGGGGAACACAGTTCAACCCATAACATATAATATATATATATATATATATATATATATATAACTTTTTAATGGGTACAAAAAAACAGTTAGATAGAATGAACAATATTTGATAGCACAAGAAAGTGACTATAATTAACAATAAGTTAGGGTATACTTTAACACATTAACTGCCATGTGAGCTGTATTTAACTCACGCTAGTGTTGAACCTGGGGCCTTGTAAAGCATATGTATAATAACTCACACGTCTCTTTACCTTGAGCTGTGTGAACTATTTTTCAAGTTGCGTATAACTCACACACAGAAAACAACAAAAAGTAACAAATTTTTCATTAAATTAGAAAGGATTGTTTTGTTTTCGAAGTTTTTATTCTGTTTTCATAATAAAACACTATGATGCCAAGGAAAGTGTTTTTTTTCCTAGTGTGGCAGTCAATATGTTAAAATAAGAGTGGAATTGGAATGCTCCTAATACAATGAAATGATAAATGCCTGAGGTGATAGTTACCCCAATTGCCCTCATTTGATTAATTCACATTGTATGCCTGTATCAAAACACCACATATACCCTATAAAGATATACACCTATTATGTACCCATAATGATTAAAAGTAAAAAATAAAAAAATTATATATAACTTTAAATATTTAGCTCCAACAAAGCTTTTACATGTATTTAGATGTTGTGTAATTTCAGATTTTATCACTTTGGATCCTTTCACCTGGGTGGTCAAATCCCACATTATCAGTTGATGGAAAGTTCTGTGATGCTAGAGCCTGTGTTTTGGGTATTGAGCCCTTTCTCATTGAGCCATTTGATTTATTTTGAGGAGAACTCTTCAATTATTTGCTGGAGAGGTAGGTGCTTGACTGATGAAGGGAGAGTGAAATTGATGGATCAACTGTTCTGTGTATAGACTTTTAATCAATAAGTACCACATCTCACTTATCCCCCCTATCATACCTCCCAATTAAAAGCTCCTCCTGGATTCTGTGAACTAACCAATGTCCTTGGCCGCATCACCTCCCCACAGGTGCTTCAGGCAGTCACTGCTTCTTGGCTTCATTAATTACCCTTTCTTTATCGCTACTCTAACTTCAAAAAGTTGGTTGAAATCTTCATTTGCTGAGGAGTCCCTTCATTATATTGACCATTAATAGTTTTATTTACTTGTATGTTATTTGTCATCATTTTAATAGGGTGGGGTCCCAGTAGAAAGAGGGAATGTGTTCAATTAGCCATCCAAAACTTGTGGATATATACACTTCAGATTTAATAGATATCATCAAATTGCCTTTCCTTTTTGGTATTTATATCTCTTGATTCTTTTTATTCTTTCATTGCATTGATGAAACTTGAATACAATGTTGGTAGTAGTAGTGGGCTTCCTATTATTGTCCTGTTTTAGTAGAAATGCTTCTAATATTTCATCATTAAATAATATCTTTGTTGTGGATCTTTTATGAGGCTGACACATTTTCTTAATATTTCTGAGATGTTTTTGAAAAATCTGTAATGTTTTTAATCTTATTAAATTATTTTGGCACCTGGCGAGGTGCCTTGCACCTGTAATCCTGTAATTCTGTAATCCTAGCATTCTGGGAGGCCAAGGTAGGAGGATTGCTTGAGGCCAGGAGTTCAAGACCAACCTGAGCAAGAGCGATACCCCATCTCTATAAAAAATAGAAAAATTAGCCAGGCATAGTGGCATACACCTATAGTCCTAGCTACTGGGGAGGCTGAGGCAAGAGGATCACCTGAGCCTAGGATTTTGAATTTGCAGTGACCTATGATGATGTCACTCACTGCATTCTAACCAGGGGTACAGAGTGAGACTGTCTCAAAATAAATAAACAATAAATATAAATAAATAAACAAACAAACAAATAAATAAAATGTTAATGTAGTGAATTACATTAATATAGTTCCTAATTTAAAACCATTTATGGATTCCTGGGATGAAATTTTCTTGGTCCATGATGTGTTATTATTTTACTACATTCCTGGATTAATTTGCTGACATGTTATCTTGGATATCCATCTATGAGCATAAATAAAATTGGCCTACCCTTTTCAAAAATGTTATCCTTGTTTGGTGTTGGTAACAGGATTATGCTAGATTTTTGGAATGAACTGGAAGACTTTCATCTATTTCTTTCATCTTTTGTCTAAGCCCTGATACAGATTATACAATGTTGAAATTATCAATTACCTCAAGATTTGTTAGGGCTCGCACATAAAACTATCTGAGTCAGGTGTCATTGTCTTGATGGGTAGGCCTTTGGTTACTTTTTCCATTTCTTCTGGAAGCATCAGTCTTTTCAGGTTTTTTCCTTTTTTTTTTTTTTCAAAGACTGGGTCTTACTCTGTGTTGGAGTGCAGTGGTACAATCATAGCTTACTGTAAACTTGAACTCCTGAGCTCAAGTGATCCTCTTGCCTCAGCCTCAAGTGTAACTAGGACTACAGGTGTGCACCATCATGCCAACTAATTTTTTATTTTTTGTAGAGACAGGATCTCATTTTTGCCCAAGCTGGTCTCAAACCCCTGGCCTCAAGGGATGCTCCTGTCTCGGGCTCCCAAAGTGCTAGGATTACAGGCATGAGCCATTGCACCTGGCTTACATATTCTTATCATTAAGAAGCATTGTAAAATATTTTTAAATATTTATATCATTCATTCAGTGTATCCATTACCCAACTTTACCAAATCAAACATTTTCTTTTACTTGCTAAATTTTCTTAAAAGAAATAAAACATTCCAAATATACTTGAAGTTCCTGGCATTCTCCCTCCCAATTCTATTCATGTCATTTTCTCCCTTGGCATATATAACTATACTGAATTTGGTTCTTAAAATTCTCATACATATTTTATACTTTATATATATATATATATATATATATAATATATAGCATTGTTTTGCATATTTTCAAAATTTATACAAATGTAATTATATGCCATGTATAGTTCTGCATCTTCCTTCTTTTATTCTTTAAATATTTATTCACATAGACACATGTAGCCTAGTTTCTTCATTTAAACTACTGCATAACATTTCTTCTATGAATGTAATAAAATGTATTTATCCATTTTCTTTTGGTGGATACTTGGGTTTTCTTTTATGCAGATATTCTTATCTCCTGGAACTCAGGTATCACACATAACTAGAAATGGAATTGTTGGTCAAAAAAACAAGCTCTTTAACTTTACCAGATTCAGCCAAATTTTTCTCCAGATTGTTCATACCAATTTATAGTCCCTCAAGCAGTATGAGAGTTCTTGTTACTTCATATTTTTACTGACACTTGGTATTACAACACTTTTAATTTTTTCAATCTAGTGAGTACAACGTAATGGTCCCTACAAGGAAGAAGCAGGGGGAGGTTTGACTGCAAAGACAGAAGGCAGATGGCGACATGATGATGGAAGCAGAGACAAATTTGAAGATGCCACGCTGCTGGCTTTGAAGATGGAGGAAGGGGTTATAAACTAGGGAAAGCAGGGAATGTAGCTCCAGAATCTAGAAAAGGTTCAGTGGCTCACGCCTGTAATCCTAGCACTCTAGGAGGCGGAGGCGGGAGGATCACTCAAGATCAGGAGTTCGAGACCAGCCTGAGCAGGAGCAAGACCCTGTCTCTACTAAAAATAGAAAGAAATTAATTGGCCAACTAAAAATATATAGAAAAAATTAGCCGGTCATGGTGGTGCATGCCTGTAGTCCCAGCTACTCGGGAGGCTGAGGCAGAAGGATTGCTTGAGCCCAGGAGCTTGAGGTTGCTGTGAGCTAGGCTGACGCCACGGCACTCTAGCCGGGGCAAAGGCAAGGAAACATTCTTTCCTAGAGCCTCCGGAGGGAACATGGCCCTGCCCACACTTTAGTTTTGGCCCATTGAAATGGAGTTTAGACTTCTGGTCTCCAGAACTGTTAGAGAAAAAATATGTGTTATTTTAAGCCAACATGTTTGTAGTAATTTTTTACAGCAGCCATAAGAAACCAACACAACATGTCTTGTAATTGATGATTCTTACAATCTCTGACAGCCAGGCAACAAGTCGTGATGTACTTGTATTATTTGCACTGATGTAGTTGTATTACTTGCACTGATGTAGTTGTATTACTTGCATATATAGGAACTTAGTTGTCACTCCTGATCTCATTACTGGACAACTACATTCCCTTGACATTTCAAACAACAAACTATTTCAGGGTTATACAGTGAAGGACTGTGAGTCCTGGTTATTGTCTGAAAATATTCCATTGACATTTTCTTGTAAGAAGAAGGAAACGTTAGCATCTAAAACCTTAATAGAGAATTATAAAACTTCATTGAAGAACATTATAATATTCTCCATCAAGATCTTAGATGTATTGTGTTAGGTTTATTCCTATGTGCTTCATATTTTTTGTTATTGTAAGTGAAGTCATTTTTTAAACGTACTTTCTGATTGTTGCTGAAACAACTGATTTTTTATATTAGCTTTGTATCCAGAAATATTATTTACCTTAATTCTAATATTTCATCATATCTTCTTTTGTATTTCTTTATTGAGATATGCGATCTGAAAATATTGACTATTTATTCCTTTTGGTTCTTGTTCTTGTTTTACTGTGCCAGCTAAGACCTCTAATTCAATGTTGAATAGAAGTGATGATAGTGGGAACTTTTGTTTATGAAATTAAAGGGAATAATTTTAATGTTTCAGCATAAAATAAGATTTCTTTTTAACC